ATATATACTTAGAAGCAAATATATTTTAGAGGCAGCACTGTGATTTGAGTTATGCAAAGTTTTGTCTCAAGCTGAGTGCTGTTTCCCAAGACGTGACTGTTAATAATTTCAAGTGGATGACGATATTGTTATTTAAGTTGACTGCTCCCTTAGTTACTTCTACAGATACATAATACACAAAATTTCATAATCATGCTATTCAAAATCACAATCCCCCAGGTCTCCATGACATGTCTAAAGGAAGACTAGTGGATAAAACTGTCATACATGTATTTTTTTATGCATATATTTTTAAGCCCACATCAATGACTTAAGTAGAGATAAAAATGATAAAATGGTACGCTGGCAGGTATCGGCTTTCTTTTTTATCTTTTATTTTGTTCTTGGTATTGGCTTTCCTGAAGTATATTTCATTGCTAAACTGAAGAACATATTGACTCAGAAAAAACTAATACAGTAAGAAACAAATTCATTATGTGTTCTGTTTATGGCATGCCGTGAAGGCAAGAAAAGTGGAGCTGTACACAATGGTAAACTGATTATTACTGTGCTTGTTAAAACTAACCTCTGAGGTTGCGGGGACTCTCGTTTTAAAGGTGAGAGTTTCCATGCAGTAAAGTTAATTAAGGCTTCTATCAGCAATCAAGGAAATACAAAAATTATCCATTATATTAGCTACATATGAGGAGAAGGATCAAAGAGACTGATTTGCAAGCACACTATCGAAACGCGACTTTTACCTTTGCAGTGTATCGGTATGCCAGCTTACCCTGCGGGCGCAACTACTTACATCGAACAGCTTTTCTATATACATTTCCTCATTGACCTTGTCTCGAAGAATATCCTGGTTTTGCCGAACAAACATAATATAGGTGTCTGCCAGATCCATTCCAGGCTTCTGTTGAAAGAAAAAAACCATGTGGAATAGATAATAACAAGTCTCACTTGGGATTATTATTAGTTATCACTTCCTGAAAAGTAATTTTGAAAACTGCCCTAGCAAAATATTCTGGAGGCTAAGTCAAAATAAGAACCTGCAATAAATTCCATAAGTAAACAGTTTATGGTAGATGGTCACTCTGCGAGGTCATATCTTTTCTTAAAAAGCTAGAAATATATGGTTGCAAGCCCACTGATATCTCATGAAAGTGCTATCTTGAAATACCAATATGCGATGAAGGATAAATAAAAGATTTTCTTAGAAAATTTCCCCCAAGAAATTATTTCCTAACTGCAAGTAAAATTCATTATTAAAATATTACTATTAAAAGTCTTCTTTGGACTGCTTCTCTTAGCCACTACAGATGGCCAAGGGAATACAAACAAACACTCTTACTAAGCACAAAAACCAGTATTAAAAGACATAGAACTGCTGAACGTGCTGGTGCACACCTGTAATCCCAGCTTCTTGAAAGACTGAGGTAGGAAGATTGCAAGCTCACCAGTCTGGGCTACACAGCATGATCCTGTCTCAAAATAAAAAAGGGCTGGGGATATAGCTCAGTGATGCAGCACTTCTGGGATGGATCCCCTCTACAGGAGGTGGGTGGACAAAAAGTTTTAATATATTGTAAAGTGAAAAACATAAAACATGTTGTGTATCATTCATTGCTTTAAATTACTACTTTTTAATACCATCTTCAGGATTTATTTTATTTCAGACATATGAGAACATTAGTGAACTTGTCTACATAGAGATGAAGAGTTGAATTATGTAACTTTCTCAAGTTATTTAATATTTGGTGTCTTGTAATGTTAGAGGAAGTGTAAGAGTTAACATTATTCTTTGCTATAGATTAAAAAAAATCAGTACTAGGAAGGGTTACAATCCTAAATAGCTGCTAAAGAGTTGCTCTTCTCCAACTTAAGATTCGTTTTTTCTTGAATTTCACAAAACTTGGTTAACTGATGCAAACAAATATTTGCATCACCTATATCTGGAGTTAATTCAAACTCAGCATTAAGTTATTTGATTGGGGTATATTAGAACAAAATTGTGGAATATATGCTCAAACAGGACAACCTTGCATCCCTTTATGTCTAGATGAGGTGCTTATAGCTCTCTACAAGGACTCACCTACAAAAGCAAATATTGAGACAATCACATGAAAACCAACATGGATCATTTAACTATTACTACTTCTGCAAAACCACTCAAGGAGCACATCTGAGAGATACAAGCACAGTAGGAAAACATATGTCACATTTTTTTTGTGGGGAGAGGGAAAAATTTTAGATATCATAAAATTGGCATCTCTCTCATAACTGATGTTAATATAGGCAATAATCTAGCAGACTTATGGCATTTATAGACATTAGCTTAGTTTTCTCTTGGACATTATTTTTGTGTGCTAAGAATCACTGGAATTCATTTTTCTCTTTTTCTTTTTTGGTGGAACTGGGGATTGAACTCAGGCCCTTGCGCTTGCCAGGCAAATGCTTATTCCACTGAGCCATCTCCCCGGCCCCTGCAATTTCTTATGGTTCTTTTGTTTAGCC